CTGCCCACCTTCCTGAGGAAGCCCCTTACATGGAACACACACCTGCTGGGACATCCTCGGTTCAGGCTTGCGTTTACCCACGGTGGTGGTGGGGGTCCGCTGTAAGCTGATGGGTCAGGAATGTGTCAAGCAGGTGTCTTTAAACGAGCTCCAAAGGCAAGGCTGGGCATGGGTCACGTGCTGGAGATGCCGACCCTGCACCTTCCCTGGCAGTAACAGTTTGGGCACCAGCAGCTGCTTCCGAGTGAGACCAGCCCCCTTCCATGGCCGGAGCATGCTCTGACACAGCCCCCTGCTCTACTTTGTGCCTGATAATTCTGTTTCCTCACTCATTTCCAACTGAGCCGCTGTAGTTGTCAGTCAGCTCTGTAACAGCAGAGACCTGGGGACTTTTATTCAGCTCATTCTTTTCTTTTCCTCTGTCAAAAGTTGCTCCGGGGACACACGCAGGTGACCCAAAGAACGAGGAGAGTTCGTTCCTATGTGCCAGTGTGTATAAACATTAGGGGTTGTGAGACACTTCACAGGGAACAGCAATTTCTTTCACTAGAACGCAAAATATTTAGCAAGACAAACGTAGCCTTGAGAGCAGGTGGAAAAGACAGGAAACCTACAAATGTAACTGGAGTGGCCCAAACCCAGAGGGCAGGTGAGACCACAGGACGGGGTGGTGTGGAAACTTCTCAGCTGACTCCCCCCTGGCACCCAGACAGTGAAGAAGGAGTGAGGCACCCGGCTGGGCATCCAGGACCAAGAGGCCAGTGGAGGACAGCGGCGGGAAGCAGCAAGCAGCCTGGGGCAGAGATGACTGAAAACCCGCAGGAGTCCAGGGCCCAGGTGCTCCACCCCGCCCCAAAGAGGGGCCTGTGTGTGAGGCGTGAGGAGATTCCAGCACGGCTATACGTCCCACACCAGAAGGACAGATGACAAAGGGGACTTTCTCTTCATAAAAACAGAAGGAAGTGAGATAGAGCCCTCTGACATCAACTACTGCAACAGACAACGCAAGAACTCAAGCCAGAGAGGCAGTTTCATAACTAATGTTCACTTCTGCTCAGGCAACACACACACACACACACACACACACACACAAGTGTACGCAATAAAGGTGTCAAAAACAAACAAACAAACAAACCCAAAAGAAAACTCGCTTCAAGGGTCTAGCTGAGCCTCTGAAACCATAGAGGTCTGGGACGCCAGCGACCTGAGAAGGCCGCTCCACCTGCACGCCCCGCGCCCCGGCTGCCTGTGGGAACAGCCTGCAAATGTAATTCAACTCACGCTCCCAACGCAACAAGCAGGCTCGCACAGGACACGCTGGGAGTGGCAGCGGTGGCGGGCGGCGTCTCCGCGTCTCCTCCTGCTCACTGACTGATTCATATTTTGGGAGCAAGGTTACAATTAGCTCACCGGTGTAGAATAAACCTATTTATAAATGCAGCAGTCCACCTGCAAAGGCACCAGCCTGCACAAAGGCTGCTGCAGGAACTGAGACCCGAGACCCAAGAGTGGCTTCCTCCCCTGCCGTTGCCAAGCGCGGCGGTGGTGGCTGGTGGTGGCTTCCCAAGGCCCTTCGAGGTGCAGCCACATATTGTCCACCTGCCTGGGTTGGCTCTTGGGGCCGCCTCTCTCTCTCGGCCTCCATGTTCTTATGTAACATTTACATAGTGCCATAAACATGCCTTGGGTTGCGTATGAGTTAAAATGTTGCCAAACCATTAAGGCCTTAAAGCAGGTCACTCCCTCCGGACTGGCTCTGATTAGCACAGGTAGCCTGCCCAGTGCAGAGGGGGGATTTGGGGTTGGGAAGCATGACGAGAGGAGGGTGGAAAAGCCTGCCCAGGGGCAGATCCGAACTTGAGGCAATCTGAACCAAGACTACAAAGAAAGCAACAGAACAAGAGGAGAAATGAACCCCACACTGCCTTATGGTGCTTCTATCAATCACAGTGCACGTTACTCTGCCCTGTAAGATAAAAAGTAACCCAACAGCACTTATTCGCTTTAGTCAGTGACTGTGTCTAAAAATACCTCCGCCAACTGGCTATCAGTTAGCCAGTGGCTCCAGGGAGGCCCCAGCAAGAGCCACCCGGAGTACTTCCTTGCTTTACCATGGGACAACTGAGGCAGGTGCAGGATAGCAGGACCAAGGACCACCTGGATGGAAGGGAGCCAAGGCAGCCGGCTCTTTCTCCACTGACTATAACTATAACCTTTCACGGAGTGACTGGCCATTTTCAGTTTGTTTGTTTGTTTGTTTGAAATCACATTTGCTCCAGGAGCTGTCTTAACAAAACTAATCCCCGGGTCCCTCTTCCCGCACAGCACTCCGCACTTCCCATCCAAGTCCACTCCACAAAACCACCAGACCGGTTCCCAAGCTGAAACTCACACACAACCTCCAACCAGGTCTTTCCTTCTTGCTTCTGTTCTAACACGCCAAACTCACGTCCTCCAGCTACCAACTCAATGTCACTTTTTTTTTTAATTACTCATGTAAACATTGCAAAGCCCAAGCTCTTCCCAGGTGGTACAAGCATCAGATGGATACTATTTGTAACCTTTCGAAGTCCCAGGTAATTCATTAAGGAACAGGATCCTCTCTCCTTTCACTGCCCCTTCTCCCAGGTGCAAGGAGCCGGCATCAGAGCCGTCTGGCTTGCTCACTTCTCCAGACCTTGGAGGGGAGCTCCATGTTAACACAAGCCAGGGGGTGCCGGGGTGTGGGAAATTGGGAATCAGCTTCTTGGTCTACCACAGCCTCTCCTCTTTCCCAGAAGTGACTTCTAACTCTGCCTTTTGCAACAGTGGTCTCCGTAGCCTGCACTGCTGGCAGCTCCACACATCCCGGAAAACACTGTAGTGTCTGGCCAAGAAGCTTAAAGGCCTTCAACAATGTTTGCTGGACACACAACCTCATTTCCAATTTGCCAAAAATAAAGAAAGGAATTCCCTCTAACGTCCACTCACCCTCACCCCTCAGCAAACATCCATTATAGGAAGGTATGGGACATAATAATAAATAAACAAAATCTCTGCCCCTTCCAGGGCCAGTGGGGTTATCAAATTAAATGCTGAGAGCAGCAATAAGGAGCACCCCACAGCCACTCTGTCACATCAGCAAGGAAACCATGAAGAAAAAAAAATCTCGGATGTGTGATGGGCAGGAGAATTCCTACACAGAGCAAATGCCAGGCAAACCTGGGGGGTGCAGGCCTCCTCACCTCCCCCAGCCACTAGGAAAACACCAGGTCACACCTTCCACACACAGCCTCAAGGGGAAAGACCCAGCACGTCGCAATTCAGCACAGATCCAACTGGGACCACCCCCAGACGGGCACCCCAACCTTCACGCTGTTTATCAGGTGCTCCCCCTTCCAAGCTGTGGTGGTTACCTGCACCCCAGGAACACACGAGGAGCTTACTACTGGCAGCAGCATTAGCCAGTGAACAAAGACCCGGCTGCACACAGCCCACACCCCCAGCAGCAAACATCAAAGCCCAGGGAACACCAACTTGTTTTGTTTTTTTTCGAGGCGCCAGAGTGAGGTGCAGTGATACACTTCAGAAGCCTGCAGCCACCTGACACGGTTGGTCACCTGAGGTGTCTCCCCACCCCAGCCCAGCCAGGCCCCCTCCGCACAGAGCTGTAAGGCTAAGGGTCTCCCCCTCCCCCGCCCCACGGGGGCTCTCTCCCATGTCCATCGGCAGGTCAGTAAACCAACTGCCAAATATAACCTTAATGGGCCACCCCAATGCCACCTTTAGGAAGGCACCCCACCTTCCAAAAGCCCTGTCAACAACACGCCCACCCGGTACGCGGAGCCCACCTCCAACCTCCACCGGCGGGCAGGCTGGGGCTGGTAGCAGGCGCCGCGCGGGCTGTGGGGTGGTGGAGGGGGGCCGGCGGCTGGTGGACACACTGGCAAGAGGGAGAGGGAATGGAAAGGCAAAATAGTGACCAGGGCTGGGGAGATGGCCGTGGGGGTGGGGCGGGGGAGGCGGGCAGGTTCTAGGGTTTCACCTGAAAGGCGACCGCCACAGCCAGCCGCTGAATGGGCCCCCTGGGGTGGGGTGGGGTAGGGTGAGGTGGGGGAGGCGGAGTGCAAACAGACCCAGCCTCCGAGGAGCCAGGGGCCCCGGCTGCCGCGGGAAGGTGTAGGGCCCAGCGCCTCCCACTTGCTCCCAACAGCGTCCATAGGGCATGATGGAAGGGGGGTGTTGGGGCTAGGCTTGGGCAAACGTGTGGCTCCCTCACCCGGAGCATCAAGGAGGGCGGGGGGACAAGCTCCCTTCCGCACCCCCCACCACCGCCCCGAGTTGCACGAGCAGAAAGAAAGGTGGCAGACCTCTCCCCTCCAACCTGCAACGCGCGAGGACCCTTCCCACCAGGGTCCCTTGGAGAAACCAAGACCATCCCCACTACCCGCACCATACATCCCGCCACGGCCTGAACCCCACAATCTTGGCGGGAGAAGAGGTGCCCCCTCCTCGACCACCACCAGGAGCATCTTGGAGCCAAGGGGCCACTGTCCCCAGCCCCTGGACAAGCCGAAAGGCAGAAACCGCGGCGCTGCCCCCAGGCTCGCAGACGCCGGCCAGCCAGCCAGCCCGGCGGGGGTCCCCAGCGCGGAACCTGAGGGCAGTAGGGGGTGGGGGACAGTGCCGGGGGGCGCGACCCCCCTACCACCACCGAGAGATTGCTCGCTTGCTCGCTCGGCTCCAGCTCCTCCTGGAAGGGAGAAGAGAGCTCGGGTCCCCGGGGCCCGGTCGAGCTCGGCCGCGCCGGCGGCGGTGGCGAAGCGGCCGCGCCTCGGAGATCAGGAGAGGCTTGACGGACCGGGTCACCCCGGACACCTCGCGCCCCCCGCCCGCCCGGCCATATTGTGCGCGTGGGGAGAAGGGGGGCGCGCCGTGGAACCGCGGCCGCAGCTCCAAAGGCCTCGCCCTCGCCCGGCCCCCCTCTCCATCCCAGCCGCCGCCCCCACCCCGGGACTCACCCTGGATCCCCCGGGGCCCGGACCCGCCGCTGCCGGCGAGCAGGAGGACGACGAAGGGGAAGAAGGAGGAGGCTCCGGCCGACTCCGCCATAGTAACCGCCGCCGCCGCCGCAGCCCAGCAGCGCCCAGCGCGCGCGCGCGCCCCCGGCGCCTCCCCTCCTCCCTCCGTCTCCTCCGCCCGGCGCCGGCACGTGCGCTCCCGGTCGAGCCGGCGCCGCGGCCGTTCGCGCGCGCCCCCGAAGGGCGGGGCCCGAGGTGCGCGCGGGCGCCCGCCTTAAAGGGGAGGGTCCCCGGCCAGAGGGGTGGGCGGGGTTCGCGCGCGGGCCGGGCGGCGGCGGGAGGAGGAGGAGGAGGCCGGAGCCGGACGTGCAAAGCCTCCGCCCCGCTCCTGGCAACCTGCCCCCCACGCAGCCGCCGGGTTACCTTATCGGCACCAATCCCCGCCCCGAGCCGAGCCTGGCGAGAAGCAGGAGCGACCGTGCGCCCCCGCCGCCGCTGAGCCGGAACACCGACCCCCGCACCCCAGACCCCCCGTGGCTTGCCACCGGGGTCCCCGCTGCAGGCTCCTGACCCTACCCCCCCGCAGTCCGGCGTGCACGCTGCTTCCAACAACACGGCCAGGATTTTTTTTTTTTTTTTTTCAGTGCTGCAGCCCAGTCTGGGGCCTGCCTGGGCTCTGTCCTCCTCCGGGTCTTGGGAAGCCCAGGAGGTCGCTGTCTGGCTGCCAAGACCCCTCTGAGCCTGTTTATGTCAACGTACCTGTTTACCTATGTGTGCTGCAAGCAGGCTCTCACAGCAGACCCTTCCATTAGGAGCGGCCTGTGGGACCGGAGCACTATTTAGTGATTTTAAAATCACGTGCAATGATTTAAAATCACGTTTGCAAAAAAAAAAAAAAATCACTGACGGGGTGACCTAGCGTTCCCCCAAGAAGCAAATTACATAACAGCTTTAATGTTATTCCAGTCTGGTGATATTTTCATGGGGTGGGGGGGGGGGGAACAAAAAGAAAAAAAAAAGAGAAAAAAGCCTGGAAGGATATTACCCAATAGTATCAGTAGTTACTGCCAGGAATCAGTCTTTTCCCTTAAACATCTGAGTTATTTCCAATTAGGCACCACATGCATGTCACTTGCAGATTTAGGAAAAGATGCTTATCGAAGGTCAGCAGAGGAAGAGTTCACTTCCGCCAGCTGGAGACAGAGACGGAGAACGTCAAAAGCCCAGGGCCTCCCCAGCCAGCCGGCCAGCCAGCTCTGGGTCTGTGTGCTGCGCTTCTGTTACGGGCAGCCTTGGCCAGGTTTTAGCCTGGCCAAGCCCAGTGTCTCCGTGTGCCCTCGCCCTTTAAGTTGTTGTCCACCTGAAGCACGAGAAAAACAAGACCTCAGGCACATGCCGAGGCCCCTTGCAAGCACGTGCAGGGTCATGCCCAGGCACCCTCCACTGAGTGGCGGGGGGCTGCATGAATAAACACCTTATTTTTACTCCACTGCCCCTGCTGCCCGGCACCCTGAGGCTCCGCCCCCTCCTGTCCCTCCAGCTGGTCTCTGGGGGCAGCCTCGCTCCAAAGCTGCACCGGCTCGCCAGTTTCCCAGGGCTGCCTCACTGAGTCCCACCGACCGACGAACCGGGTGGCTTAAAATAACAGAAATGTTATATAGTTCCAAGGCTGGAAATTTGAGCCGGTAGCGGCGGCAGGGCCCTGCTCTCTCCTGCTCGCCCGCCTGCCTCTTCTAGCTTCTGCTGGTTCCCACAACCCTTGGGTGTTCTTGTGCCTGCCTGTTCTGCACGTCTGTGTCCCTGGGTCCCCTCTCTGTCATCTTAGGAGGACACTGCCAGTCAGGGGATCAGAACCCACTGTGATCCACTCTGAGTTTAAGAAACCTTTGATTATGTTCACGAAGGATCTGGCTCTGGGTAGGCACGAGTGCTGGTGGGACAGTAACTGATCTCATTGCCAAACTCTGTGGTTGGCAAGGGCACATCGCTGAGGCCAAGGGGCAGGGAGCTGTCCTTTGTGTCCAGCTAAGTGAGTGTGACCACTGTGGCGACAATATAACAGATATCCTGGGGACCGACATCCCACAGGGCGCCAGTGAAGTCCTGACTGACCCAGCTCCCTATTAATGTGTCTGGGAAAGCAACAGAGAGTAGTCCAATTCCTTGGGTCCCTGCATCCATGTGGGAGACCGGGAAGAAGCTCCTGCCTTCCAACCAACCCAACTTAGGCCATTGAGGTCATGTGGGGTATGAAGCAGCAGATAGAAGGTCTCTGCTTCTCTCTTTGTAACTCTGCCTTTCAAATCAAAAACAAAGATTTTTTGAAAGATTTATGTTTTTTTATTGGAAAGATATACAGAGAGGAGGAGAGACAGAGAGGAAGATCTTCCATCTGATGATTCACTCTCCAAGCAGCTGTAATGGCCGGAGCTGAACCGATCCGAAGCCAGAAGGCCAGGTCTTCCACGTGGGTGTAGGGTCTCAAGGTTTTGGGCTTTCCTCGATTGCTTTCCTGGGCCACAAGCAGGGAGCTGGATGGGAAGCGGAGTTGTCGGATTAGAACTGGTGCCCAAATGGGATCTCGGCACTTGCAAGGAGGGGGCTTTAGCTGCTAGGCTACTGAGCTTGGTCCCCACAGACATACTTTTAAAAAATAGTATCCCAGCAGAAAGCTGCAATGGCTTGTCTCCCAGACAGCAAGGTCAGCCGCAGGCCAAAGACCAGACTGCTGCGTTTACAGACCAAATTCCATCTCCAACAGCATTGGACTTGGGGTGATGTGTTTTACCTCCCAAAGCCTCCATTCACTCTTCTGTAAAATGGAGCTGAGATGGCTTCCTGTTCCGGAAACGTGAGAATTGTGTATGGTACTCTATGGGAAATGTGTAGCATAGTCTCTGACATGTAGGAAGCAATGGAAGAACAGCTCCCGTAATCGTTGGAATCTGGACTTTCACTACAATCCAGAGTGGTGCCTGATGAGCCCTAGAGGAGACAGACAACTCGCCATGGAGTTGCCTATTCGTGCCACAGTCCCCTGGTCCTGTGCGTTCTGAAACCCTACAGCATCACCTGCTTTCCAAGGATGGGGCCTTGGGGCTCAGATGCAGGTGGGGAAGAAGACTTGGTAGGACAGGGGGTCGGGGAGGTTATGTCACACACACACACACACACACACACACACACACACACACACCCCACACACACACACCACTCACAAGCTGAGGGAGCATCTCTTCAAGGAAAGGGCTTTCCTTCCCTTCCGGGTTGTAGGCTGCACATGGACAAACTGCCCGATCCTCATCCGTGTTGCGTGGCTTGGCCTGAAAGTGCATCACCCAGCCTTCGTCACCGTCCCTGACGTTCTCAGCAAAGTGTCCCATTCATTTTTTAAAATAATTTTTAAATCTTTATTTCTTTCTGTCGGAAAGGTAGATTTACAGAGAGAGGGAGAGACACAGAGAAAGATCTTCTATCCACTGCTTCACTTCCCACATGGCCACACAAGCCAGTGCTGAGCTGGTCTGAAGCCAGGAGCTTCTTCCTGGGTTCCCACATGAGTGGAGGGTCCCAAGGACCTAAGCTATCCTTCACTGCTTTCTCAGGCCATAAACAGGGAGCCGGATTGAAAGTCAAGCAGCCAGAACATGAACTGGTGCCCATATGGGATGCCGGCACTTGGAGGTGGAAGATTAGCCATGATGAGCCATGGCACCATAAACCCCTGTTTATTTAAATTTTTGAAGATTTGGGCCCGGCGCGGTGGCGCAAGTGGTTAAGGTCCTCGCCTTGCACGCCCGGGATCCCATATGGGTGCCAGTTCCAATCCCAGCAGCCCCGCTTCCCTTCCAGCTCCCTGCCAGTGGCTTGGGAAAGCAGTCGAGGACGGCCCAAGGCTTTGGGATCCTGCACCCACGTGGGAGACCCGGAAGAGGCTCCTGGTTTCGGATCGGCATAGCATGGGCCAATGCGCTCACTTGGGGAGTGAATCATCGGACGGAAGATCTTCCTCTCTGTCTCTCCTCTCTGTATATCCGCCTTTCCAATAAAAAAATAAATCTTAAATTTTTGAAGATTTATTTATTTATTTCAAAGGCAGGGTTAGAGAGGTAGGAAGAGAGGGGAGAGAGAAAGAGAGAGAGATTGATTCATCTATCCAAAATTTTACTACCCAAATAGTTACAACAGTCAGCTCTGGGTTACGCTGAAGTCAGGAGCCAGGAACTTCATGCAGGTCTTCCATGTGAGTGCAAGACCCAAGCACTTGGGCCGTCTTCTGCTGCCCTCCCAGGTGCATTAGCAGGGAGTTGGATCAGAACTAGAGGACCCAGGACTCTTTTGTTTGCTCATATGGGATGCTAGCATCGCAGGCGGTGGCTCAACATGCTGTGCTATAACAGTGGCCCCATAAGTGTCCATTTTTGTAAGCCCCCTTCATCTTAAAGCTGCACCTGCCCTGTGGGCCAGGACTTTTCTTTGTCCCTCTGCTCTGTCCCTGTGTCCTGAGTCTTCAGAGAGAAATTCCAGTGACCGGATCACCCAGCACAATTGCTATCTTGGCTACAAGACACCACTATGGGGAGGAGGGACACAGCAAAGTTTGCCTCAGGGGGCAGCAAGGTCAAGTACACATCCTAAGAGAACGATGCGTGCATTCTACAAACTCTTATTAGGCACCTACAGTATACCAGACTGCACATATACATATGGATAAGTCATTGCCCAGGCCCTCAAGTTACTGGCCCAGAGTCTTACATAATCTAGGCTGGTTAAAAAATCAGCAGGGGGCCCTGCCAAGTGGCTCAATTGGCTGGTCCTCCACCTTCAAGCACTGGGATCCTGTGTGGGGGCCTGTTTGTGTCCCAGCTGTTCCACTTCTCATCCAGCTCCCTGTTTGTGGTCTGGGAAAGCAGGGGAGGATGACCCAAAGCCTTGGGACCCTGCACCTTCTTGGGAGACCCAGAGGAAACTCCTAGCTTTGGATCGATCCAGGGAATGAATCAGTGGATAGCAGATCTTCCTTTCTCACCTACTTTCTGTGGATCTGCCTTACCAATATAAATAAATAAATCTTTAAAAAAAAAAAACAGTCAGCAGGGCACTCAGAGGATGTGGGA